TTGTGGGCTTTTTTCTTTTTGGAAAAATTTTTTTTTTACTTTTAGCATTTTTATTAACATTTTATTTATTTAGGTATTCTATTAATTTTGATTATTTGAATTTATCAGTTTATTTACCTACTAAGTTATTTTAATTTAACTATTACTGTTTAATTATAATAAATTACCTATATTTCAATATAATGAATATTAATTCATAGAGTATTAAATTAATTTACACTTTAAAAGGCAATTTTAAAACAATTTTACGAAAGAATCATATTAATTTAGAAAGTAATTAATTAATTAATTCTATTTTTAAAAAATACAATTTTAATTAAATTCCTAGGAAAAATTGTATTATTTTTATAAATTTTAATAAAATTCTTCGAATCAATTCAATTATTTTCAAAAATATTAAAATTGATTAAAACAATTGAATTCTTTCAAGAAATTAAAATACAATTTTTCGAAATAATTTAATTATTTTTAAGAATTGTAATAAAACTCTTGGTAGTAATTCAATTATTTTCAAAAATTTTAATTAAATTTGCATAAAAGAATTCAATTATTACAAAAAAATATTTTGATATACTTTCTCCAGTGAATTAAATTATTTCCAGTAATATTAAATTTTTTTTAAATAATTGAATTTTTTTAAACAAATTTTAATATATTTTTACGAAAGAATTCAATTATTTTCAAAAATTTTAATTAAATTTGTTTGAAAGAATTGTTTTAAGAAAATTTTAATTAAATCTATTTATTAAAAATCAATTATTTTCAAAACAATTTTTAAGAAATTCCTTAACGTAAGTATTAGTCTAATTTTTCGAAATAATTCAATTATTTTTAAAAATTTTAATAAATCTTTTCGAAGTAATTTAATTATTTTTAAAAATTATAATTAAATTTGTTTTAAAGATTTTATTTATTTTTCCAATTTTAAATAAAACTCTTGGATATCAATTCAATTATTTTCAGAAATGTTTCATTAAATTTTTTATTTAAAAATTTCAATTATTTAAAATAATTTGAATATTATTTCTCCACTGAATTCGATTATTCTCGAATTTTTTGCGAATCAATTCAATTATTTTCAATACTTTTAATTTTTTTGCAAAATAATTGAATTCTTTGGAAAAATTATATCAGTTTTTTTAAATAATTGAATTCTTTTAAAAAAAATTTAATATATTTTTACGAAAGAATTCAATTATTTTGAAAAATGTCAATTAAATTTGTTTAAAAGAATTTAATTGTTTTCAACAAAGTTTTAATCAAATAAAATTGTTTATATTGTGGCCTTGGACCCAAGGCCACAATATAAACAATTTTATTTGACAAAAATTAAGGTCCTGAAAACATTCTACGTTACAAAGTTTTAATTAAATTTCTTAATAGAAATTAATTTTTTTTCACAAAATTTTAATAAAATTCTATCGAACAAGCCAATTATTTTCAAAAATTTTGATAAACTTCTGTAAAAGACACTAATTATTTTCAATATAATTTTAGTTAAATTCTTAAAAAATATTATTTGTTTTCAATAATTTAAATAATGTTCTTTGTAGGAATTCAATTCTTTTCTATGAAATTTTGATAAAATAAAATGAATCTTAAATTCCAAAAAAAAAATCAAATTATCAAACGTTTTATTTATTAAAGTTGTTAAATAATTGAAATTATAGAAAATTTTGTTAAAAATAATTAATTTTTTAATTGTATTTCATTATTGAAAGTTAAATTTTGAAGATTTTAATTTACAAATTTTGAAATTAATTGAATTTTCAATAATTAAAAAATATTTAAATGAAAAATCTTGAAAATGAAAATTTGAAAATAAAAATTAACGAAAATTAGCTTAAAAAAATTATATTGAAATATTTTTGAAACAAGTAATTATTACCATTTGTTCTTTGTAATTTTTTAAAATTATTTTCAATTTTATTTATTTACAAGACATATAAAAATCAAAATTATCGAAATTTTATATTTTAAAGAACTTTATTTTTTTAAAGGCAGGCCCTAAAGCTGTGGTTTTTAAATATAATCATATTTTTGAAGAATAAGAACCAAAAATTTAAAAAATAATTTAATTTTTGGAAATTTTGAATTGAAGTTAGATAATAAAAAATTGTTACATTTTAGTCTTAAAGCTACTTTTTGATAATTTTTTAAAATTAATTATCGAGTGCGAAGACTGATCAACAACGAAAGGTTTAACTATCGAGAGACGACTGTATTTTGAAGGAACTTTTATACGATTAAAAATTGAAGGACGGTTTTTAATCCAGTGCGAGGCCGAGAATGTTTCCTTTTCTTAATTTTCTTTTCCCAAATTACATTTTAAAAGTACATCAGCAAACCCGTCAGTTTCAGAAATTGCGAGAGAAGAATGAAGTAGCATTTTTATTTTTGAACGCAGTTTTCTCTCGTGCATTATTTTCTTGAAGTGAGTATATGGAGTTTGTTGTGTTGGAGCAATTTCTAATCGGTTCTTTTGGAGTTGACCACCTTGTTGTTCGAGAAAACTGTATATAGTGACTCGAGACTATATATATAGAGAGAAAAGTACCACACCCAGCAGTGTAAAAAGAAACGAATGGCCTGTCGACCGCCTGGAGCATGATACTATCAGCTCTGCTAGTTTAGCCTCCTAGAAACCGTGTTTAATGGTCCAAGAATGAATCTGGAGTCTAGTATTGATGATCAGCCATGGTGCAGGATCTAACAATAATTTAGCACGAGCCACACTATATATACACATACACTTCCTATAAGGGTTCATCGAATGCTTCTGTATTGATGACCCGCAATCGCGTCCCATCATCGACATCTTCTGATAGATGGTACAATTTTGCCAATATTGAAAATATTCTAAAGGCTGAATTAAGTTTTACTCGCTGTTGAGAATATTTTTAATTTTTCATCTCATCACAGTCGGAAAAGTTTTATATATTTTTACTAGAATAATTTTAATTATTAGCTGATTTTTATTTAACTAATAATTCTACATATTAATTAATTAATATATTAATAATATTGATATTATTTATTATTATGAATGAAATATTTCGGATTTTGAATTTCGCGCCAAAAGTTCTTTGAATCGCCGCCTAGAGGGCATGAAAATTCACTCATAAACGACGTGAAACGAATGGAGTAACAGTGCTTCAAATCAAGTAAAATTTTTTTAATTACAAAATTATAATTAATTACAATATGATTTATAATCTGTAATTATAAATTAATATCCTAATAATACTAGGATTCTAATTTCTAAATCCTAATAATAGCCACTATAATAGCCATCTTCCGTATAAATATATTTTTCTTTTTTTTTATTCTCCCTTTTCTATTTTTGGATTTACTTTCTATTAAATATTCTCGATATGGATGTATTTAGTGAATATAGAAGAATTATAGATACATAATAATTTATCGAAGCGTTTTTGAAATAATTTTTGCGTCAAAGCAGATAATTTATGGACATAATAAAGCCGTCAGTTGTGAGATGAAAGAGAATAAAATTGTTTGTAAAAAAAAGAGAAAGAAAAAAAATCACAACTCGATGATCGATCATCGCTTATAAGCGCAGATGCAATGTACGCTAATTAACTGTGTCACGTTTAACGAACTTCTGGTAACGTCACATATTTTCTTCTCCCATCGATTATTATTATTATTATTATAATATTTAACTCTCGAGCTAATTAAGAATTCGCCTTTAGGGTTTTTTAAGAATTTAGAATTAAAATCTAGTGTGACAAGATCGATTTGAATGGATTTTGAATAAAAATCCTTCCGCAGTGTTTTTAATTATTAGTTTCTAAATTTTTGATCGATGGATACATTCCCTTTGGGCTCTGAATTTTTATTTTACAATTTTAAATTTCAAATTTTACATTTTTGACATTTTTTAAATTGAAGAAAAATTTGTGGACCAAAAATTTTTAAAAATAAAATTTATTATTAAATTTCAACAAATAAAAATTATTATTAAATAAAAGAAATTAAAATTTATTAATAATTATTATATAAAATTTATTTATAATTATTAATTAAATTTGACATAAGTTAAACAAAGTAAAAAATTACAAATCGAATAATAAAAAAGGCCAAATTAATTTAAATATTAAATTTTAATTTAATTTCAAGTTTGAACTGCGAAAAACCGAAGTTTTACTGGAAAAATAGAAAAAAATAGACTAAAATAAAGCAAAGAGTGAAAATTACAAATCGAATAATGAAAAATCAAATTACAATCCGGTTTTCGTTCTCTTTTGATTCTCGGAAAATGGAATGTAATTATTTGTATTTCGATTCTCCTTTGTTTCACTTTATTAGCAGATATTTCCACTCTTCCACTTTGAAGGTTCAAAAGAGAATCAATAGAGTGTCAGGAGAATCGAAAGAGAACGCAAATTTCGATTCGGGAATGAAAAACGAGAGGAAAAAAGAAAATGGGAAAGAGAAAAAAGACAAAAAGGAAAAAACAGAAAAAGAGAAAAAAAAGAAAAGGAGAAAAAAGAAAAAAAGAAAAAAGAAAAAAAGAAAAAGAAGAAAAGGACAAAAAAAGAAAAATGAAAATGATAAAAGGGAGAAAAAGAAAAATTATGACGAGAAATACTTAATGTCAAGATAAAAATTTCTGTAATTAAAATCACGCGAATCAATCGGAGAATAAATGAGATAGAATTTGTCGATAATAAACATGAGACACAAGTTAAAATGCCAATTTAAATATTGTCTCGCGCCTCAACGAACTTGAATATCGATTTATCAATGATCGATCGATCAATCGGCAATGCACAAGCGATTGATGCGTCACGCAATTACTCGATAGTTTTCTATGTAACCCTTTCCTATAAATATCACGCACAGTGATTTTGGAGATATAATAAAAAAATAATAATAATAATAATAATTTTTTTTTCCCCCTCTTTATATTAGTGCCAAGCAATCAAATGATCAAGTCTCATTTTAATGTTGTTGTTGTTTCTTTTTCTCTGTTGCAGCAGAAGGTCAAATTCTGGTTCGCCACGGGTGGCGCCGGTTTTTGCATCAGCAGGGCGCTCGCTCTCAAAATGATACCGGTGGCTGGGTGAGTCCACACTTTTTATTATATCTTCGATCTACACACATCTCATGTGATCCATGGCTCGTAAGCGGCGCGAATCCCATGAAAGAGATCTATCGATCCGCTTAATACTCTAATTTTTTAATTTCCTCGACGATCGATAAGAGAAAAAAAAAGAGAAGAGAAGAGAAGAGACTATTCTCTACTGTATTGTCCCACTTCTCGTGAGCGGTAAATAGGTGATGAAATTTTAATTTTGATGTTAATTGTTTTTTTTATAATTCGTTGACTTTTATTAAATTAGTATCTAAACTAGGGAAAATTTGTTTTTTAATTCGAAAATAAAAAGCCAACCAAAGAAAATACACAGTTTTTCTAAAAATATCAAATTGAGACAAAAAAACGAATCAAAACGTTGCCGTTTTGATTCGTTTTTTGTCTCAATTTGATATTCTTAGGAAAACTGTGTATGTTTGAATTAAATATATTTTATAATTGAATTAAACGTAATTTTTATTCAGTCAAATTTATTTGTTTTTTTTTGTTATTTTGTCTTTTTTTTACTTAAAACTTTGAAATTACCAAGAATTTTAATACAGAATCTTAAATTTTTTCTATTTTTCACAATAATTTATTTTAAATAATTTAATTCTTGAGCAATTTAATTCTTTTCTTTTTTCTTAAAAAAATTTATTAAATTATCTAAATTCTGAATGAATTTAATTAGAAATTTTATTTGAAGTAATTTTTTGCAAAAATTTTAATTAAAATTCTTCTGATATTAGTTTCATTTCTTGAATATATATTTAATTATTAAAAATAAATGATATAGAGAAGATTTTTGTAAAAAATTTTAGAAAATAATTGAATTTTGGAAAATATGTAAATGATATCAATGTTTTTAAATAATTGAATTTTGAAATGGTTTCAAATTAAAATCTTTGTAAATCTAATTTTTAATACTTTTAATTAGCAATAATTCTGAGAAACTAATTTTTTTTGGGAAATTTGAATTCCAATTCTTTTGAAATAAGTTGAATTTTTTAATGACAATACATGAGATTATCAATTATTTAATTATTAAGAATTTTAGTTAAAAACTTAAAAAAAAAAATAATTGTATTTTAGAGAAATTTCAAATAATTGTAGGTAATTTTGAGATATAATTGAATTTTAAAAAGGTTTCAATTTAAAATTTTAGAAAATTTGAAATTAATTATTAAAAATAATTGAGTTAGAAAAAAATTTTAGTTAAATATTCCAGAAAATAATTGAATTTTGGCGAAGTTTCGAATACTTGCAATTTTTAGAAATAATTGATTTTTTAAAGAGGTTTCAAATTAAAATCTTTAAAAATCAGAATTTTTAATTATAACAATTCTGTAGAAAACATTTTTTTAAAAAAATTTTAATTGCAATTCTCTTAAAATTAATTAAATTTTTAAATATACATTTTTTAATTATTAAAAAATAATTGATTCAGAGGAATGCTTTGGTAAAAATAATTGATTTAGAGAAGAATTTTATTAGTTAATAGCTCTAAAAAAATAATTGAATTTTCCAGAAATTACAAATACTTGCATTTTTGAGAAATAATTGAATTTTGAAAAAGTTTCAAATTAAAAACTTTAAAAATTTAAATTTTTAAACAATTGTGTAAAATTACTTTTTTGAAAAATTTAAAAATTCAATTATTTTGAAATTGGTAGAATTTTTGAATATATATTTAATTATTAGAAATTTATTTATTTATTAAAAACTATTGATTCAGAGAAGAATTTTAGTTAAAAACTCTAAAAAATAATTGATTTTTGGAGAAATAACAAATATTTATAATTTTGAGAAATAATTGTATTTTGAAAATATTTAAAATTAAAATCGTTAAAAGTCTGAATTTTTAATAGTTTTAATTAACAATTCTGTACTAAATTAGTTTTTTTGAAAAAGGTTTTTCAAATCAAAACTTTGAAAAATTGAATTATAAATTATAAACAAACGGATTTCAAATTTCTCAAAGAACTTTGTCGGAAATTATTAAAAATAATTAAATAAATAATTGATTTAAAGATAAATTTTAGTTAAAAATTGAAGAAAATAATGATTGAATAGAAATGATGAAAATAATTTTGAAGAAGTTACAGTAACAATATTTTTAAAAGTTATTGAATTTTAAAAGGTTTGAATTTGAAATTTTTGATAATATCAATTCCTATAGATAAATAATAGTTATCGAATATTTATTTTAAATAAAACTATTTATGTTTTTGAATAATTTTACAAAAAGTTCGAAATTAAATTTGAAAAGGTCGTATTTGAACATTTTTTTTGATTATCTAATCATTTTTTGAGTGAATTAGAAAATTTTTTTAAGACCAGGTAAAAAGTCAAAATTCCTTCTGGAAATTAGGAAAAAGTCAGGGAAAGAAAGAATTAAATTTTTGTGTCAGACCTGGTAAATATTTTATGTTATTTCAACATTAAACTTAATTTCATTAAATTAACATTAATTTACGGTAATAATAATTAATAAATTCGGTATAAATTGTATCGGTATTAATTTTTTATTAATTAATACTAATAAAAACTTTATTAATGTTAAAATTAATCCCCTTTTTTTTAAGGTTGAAAAATCGGTATAACGGTTTTCTCAACATTATAAAATGAATTAATGGAAGTATTCGAATTGTATTCCTTCCTGGGGGTGGGGAGGGGGGAGAATAAGTTTTATTATTTTTGTTGTTTTTTCTTTGACTTGCTTCTTCTTTTTCTTCTTCTCTTTGTATTATTGAACTCGATTCAGTTTAAAAGTTTCTTTCATGGCGGAGTTTCTTTTTTGCAACGATTTTCGTCGCATTATATCAATGCCGATCAATCGGTGAACTCTTGTTCGTTTTATTTGGCGTTCAATAAAAAGGGGTCCCTTGGAATCAGACGCGATTGGTCACGCATGACACGCATGACGCGCGTCGTTGCGAGTCGACGGTTTTAAAAACACCGGAGGTCGCCTCGAGCCATGGACCATGAAAATGCACTTTACAAAAATTGATGTACGACTCCATTGTCCTCAATTTACTCCATTTTCCCCAAAAAATTAAAATTCTCTTTTTTTGTCTCCTTTTTTTGAATTAGTATTATTATTATTATATTATTATTATTTTCAAAGGTTCAATCTTTAATTTAATTATTTTTAAATTCATTTAATTCTTTTCTTTACTCGCGATAAGAAATTGTTTGAAACAACCAAAATCCTTGTTGGATCAACTAAAGAAATTTGGTTTTAATAATATTGATCTCCTGTAAGAGAAATAAGTTTTAAATTAGAGCTGATTTTGGTATTTAAATATTAGAACCAAATTACCAAATTGGTACTAAAATTAGTATCTATCTTTTTACGCAGTGTTGAATGTTTCATACGGATTAGGGTGAAAGTCAAATCAAATTTTTGTTCCAATGCCACTGAGAGGTTTTTTTTTTTGAATATTTAGAAAGTGCGTAGAATTTTATCCTGGGAATAAAAATTAATTATGTGAAATTGCACTTTTTAAAGGAAAAAATTAAGAAGGAAAAAGGAAAGTAATTATTATGTATAGAAATAAACTGTTGGGGAGAAGAAATGAATGATTCTCAAATAAGTTTCTTGTGTCGCTGAACGTTGTAAATAATGAGAATAAATTACACTGTTTATATGTGAACGATCTTGAGACATAAGTTACACGCTGGTTTATGTTGCACTTTATTTGTGCGCGCGACGATCTATTCAACTGAACTCAATCTTCTTCTGAATAAGGACGTAAGACTCATCTTTTTACGGTACTCGTAAATCAGTATTTATACTGCTCTCGATTGTTTGTCGTGGGATCTTAAGAATGCCACCGCGCACGTTTTGTCTTTTAAAACTGCATTGTTCTTATCATCATAATTATATCGCACCAAAGTTATAAATTTTCTTTGCAAATTTTTCAAACTGACAAACTTTTCTCTCACTCCTTCTCTCTCTTTGTCTATAATAATACAACTATTCATTATGTTTGCCAAGCGATTTTTCAAAAATTAAAAATGATAATTTCTATGGGGACACATTTTGAATGACTTTCAGTTTATTCCTGAATGATTTGTGATGAGGTGAGTTTAGTTGGCGCAGCTGCTTTACTCGACTCTCGGTAAATAATGTATTCCCGCACTTGAAATCTAGTGTTGAATGTGTCGTCGCTTATTTCTTTCGAGAATACTTGAGATTCTTGAGAAAAACTGGGAACTAAAAGTGATTTCGTCATCTTTGCAAACGACGATTAACGAAGTGGACCATTTTGATGAAATTAAACACTCGAGTTTAACTTCTTCCTACGCTCGAGGGTTGTTTTTCCCCATCATCATCATCATCGTTCAACTTATCATGACCAAACATTTTTCTCATCTGCATATGCATATAAGTCAAGTTTCATTTCATTTTTTTAAAAGTATTCTTTTACTTTTTACAACATTGAAATTTTATAAAATTTCATAATAATATTAAAACTATATATTCCAATTCATATTTTATTTTTATACAAAAAAAATTGATTTGAAAATTTTTACTAAAAATTCAGATCAATTTTTGATTTGATCCACATTTTTGGTGTCAGTTCGTTGCAATTTGATACTTTTAAGAACAGTTAGATTTTAAATGGCAATTTATGAAGAATGTCTGAGACATTAAAAATATTGGGGACCGTAAAAATATCTCAAATAAAAGATTTTAGAAATGAAAAATTCAGTAAAAAAAACCATTTATACGGAAAGGGACTTTTATGAAAGAAGTATGAAAGAAGTTTTTTAAGGTTGATGAGGGAATTTTTTAATAATTTATAAAACAAAGAGGTAAAAAATTTGTTGAAGTAACTGACCAAAAAAAAACAACGAATATAAGGGCATTTTTATATATAAATTGTGAGAGTGAAAAAAAGAACAGGTAATGGTAAAGACTGTATAATTAACTCTATAGTCTTTTTGTTTTTCGTTGATTTGACTTTCGTTGGGGTCTTATC